TCACAGGACAATGTCATCATCACAGGACAATGTCATCATCACAGGACAGTAAACCTGAAGAGGAAATCAACGTACGTGTAATTAATGGGAAACTTTCTCTTTTATTTCTTTGTCCTTGACACAGATGATTCACACGGTTGCCAGATCCTGCGCGAGAAACAAGCCAATACTGAAGGTAGTTGCACCAACCACCCTCCTCCCTCCACCCCTCCACCTTCATCCCTCCACCCCTCCCCCCCCTCCCTTCACCAATTAACATCGTCTAATTAATTTCTGGCCTTGTTGACATGGGTTCATCCACCGTTTGGTGGAACAAATTAATTTGGTTTGTGTTTCTCATGTTTACAGGAAGGAGTTAAAAGGACCGTGGAGACCAACCATCAAGACGAACGCACGCACGCAACCAGTACGGGCCAATCAGAGGTAAGCTTTTATACTTCTACCATCCTGCTGCTGTTGTTGTTGTTGTTGTTGTTCAACCAGACACACCGGGTGTTTTTTGTTTTCTGGCATGACAAAAATGAGATCTGGTTGAAGTAAGAAACGCCACCTACTGGACGAACCCTAACGACGCAACCTGTAGGTCTCAGCGTTTACAGGCGGATGTACAGAAAGACCAAAGTCGCATGGATAAAAATGCTTTTCTACTAATAGTAACATCTGCGTTTTACCAAACTAAAATACTTGTCATATATCATAGAAGTTCAACTGATTAGTTGGAAAACTACAGAAAAGTTAACTTGATAGAAACAAAATCTTGATAACGGTAAAAAAAAAAAAGGTCAAAAACCACCAAGATGATACCTGCAAGATTTTTTGAGTTGTTTTTTTTCTACCTTTAACCTTTAAGTCAAAGTTAATAAACATGCTGATGGACCTTTATTGGTCCCCGGGCCAGATTTTGAAAACACATGTTCTATAGGAACATTTTTTTTATTTTATTTTTTATTGCGCAGTGAATAATTCTCAGTCTGACGAATCCTGTGTCCCTTTGTTGTGTAGTTGTTGTTGTGTGTGTGTGT